TGCGCACGCGCGTTTGTGAAAGTGTATGTGTGTGTTGTGTGTATTTGTTCGCCTTCATGTCAAACGTTGGACAGATTTAAAGATTTAATATGTTATTAGACTATAACTAGGAATAACATATAGGCTACAGAGTTAAAAAATTCAAATGGCTGATCGTTAGCCATAATATGAATAGTTATTGAATACGTTCATCTATACTAATTTGGCTGAGACCCTGGAAAGGACATAGAATACTTTTTATCCCGGAAATCATCCCTTAAGGGGGTGACAATAGGGATGAAAGTTTGTATGGGGAATCAAGTTAGGGACGAACCCGAGCGAAGCAAGGGTGAGTCGCTGAATTCACTTAGTTATTAATACTTAGCATATTTAGTATTATATTAAACAGGCTAAAGGAAAACAAAAATAAACAAAAACATATAGGACTCAAGACAAACGTAAATGCGACACGTGAAGAGATAAAAGCATCGTATAACCATGTGAACAATTTCAATGTAAGACATTCAATAATCCTAAATCCTAAAGACTTACAAAATAAAACCGTGTATTTATTTCACAAAAATATACCGGAGTGAATAAAAAAAGCTAAAAATGTAAAAGGTGTATTCATATTAAAATTACTAAGCCTCTATTACCTTAGTAGGGGCCTGTCTAATGTTCGTGGCCAACAGTGAATAAAATATTTTGAACCTTTTTAGTTATTTATAAAGAAATTATGTAAAGCAATAACATTTTAGAACTTCTTAGAAAAAAATGTTTTGTTTGAAACAACATAGCGTAACAGCGGCTGGCTTCTAAATGAAGCCTTTTGTAAATAAATGTGTAGTGTAAATATTTTTATTTTTTACAAATGACATTATTATATTTTGCTTTAGAAACAAGAAATTAAATTAAAAAATAAAAAAAAAACATCCAAGACAATTACGTATTCATTGCGGCAATTTTAATGAGCCTAAACACGATATCTCTGCAGTGTTTTAATAAAGAGTTAAATATCATGCAGGTTCCAGGTGACACTGCAGCATCAGGCCGAGGTTGCCATGTCGTAGCAATGTCATTGAAGTGACGAAATACCAAGATCTGTGGAAGTTGCTCATATGCTTTTAACGTCTAGAAAAGAGCTGGTAACTAGAACGGATTTTCTTGATTTATAGCTAACAACAGTCTCGATCAAACCACTTTTTAAATAAAAAAAAAAACTAAAGTAAACGGTTCATCCGTTTGGGCGTTACCATGCGACAGACAGATACACATATACACACGTTAAACTTATAACATTTTTGTTTCGTTTGAAAATGAAATGAAATAATAATAATATTTATCTATTACACTTTTATAACATAAATACATGCAAGTGCATTTTAACTGTATCAACGTTTCATATACAATAAGTTCGCAAAACACTCGACCGACCAACAGCTTCAATTCAATTTGAAGTCGTAGAGCATATATACACAATATTGCTCCCGATCTAACCAGATACGTACGAGAGCTAACTCCGAGTACAAGGCTATAAACTCAGCGATTCCCAATTCGATTGAACAAGCTGTTTCCTTCGTGTAGGGTTGCCAATTGTTTTATCGATGTTCTTATTTTAAGTTGTATGTTTGAGAAAATTATTGATAATTGTTTTTGCGAGGGTAATTCGCTAGTAGGTACATACCAGTAAGTATATGAAATAATTAGCGACTCTCTTCACTTGGATACGTCCCTGTGTGTTTAACAGTAACCTATGTGCTACGAGTACTTTAAAAGATTATAGTTCATCTCTGTACTTACCGAAATATCGTTCAAATCCGGTCGGCAGTTTTAGCGTGGAGGAGTAACAAACACACACACGCATACGCACAGATGCACACATTCATCAGAACCCAGCCCAATAGACCATATAAACAAACATTTTAAGAAAGTAATGAGTAAATTATAATATAAACATTAATTACGAAGGAAAATTCAACCCCTTAAAAGATGCGTGGCAAAGTTTATATATAAAATACAATATCTTTTTACCCACATTAATTCACTTAATACTCAGTAAGCTTATATTATAATAGCCAAAAATGGCTTCAACGAAATTGTTAAAATAATATTTCATTATTTTCAGGAATTGTCAATTAAAAACTAACCACATTAGAAAGATCGATAGTAGGTATATTTTAAAATATTTGTATTTATAATTATAAATTAAAAATTAAAAAAACTCCTACGCAAATTAATTGTCATTTAACGATTACACTGACACGCGTGAAGTAACCAAACATAGCTAAGAACCACCGCAATGAAACTGGCTTTCAAATGAAAAAAAAACACATCGAAATCGGTCCATCCGTTTGAGAGCTACGATGTCACAGACAGACACACACACAGACAGTCATCGACGTCAAACTTATAACCCCCTCTTGTTGCGTCGGGGGTTAAAAATAGGGTTAAAGTAGCATATAAATGAATTAATCACAAAGTTGCCTATGAAGGAATTTGTATTGGCCAATAAACAGTTTCTTAAGGAGTATATCTTTTTACTAGCAGGTATCTATATTGCCAATTCAATAAATAAAATACACCAAGCAAATGTAATGGAAAATAGAAAAACTATAACATAATCATCGATCAAAACGCTTTAAGAGCGTTCCTTCCAGCCAGCCGTTTTGGCAAAGGACAACATAAAATAATCGAGATAGATAGCGTGATTGTATGTAGAAATAAATATAATATTCTAGCCTTATACAAAATACGTAAAATTTCATATTTTTAGACTCAACGATTGGAGATATATATTTGCTGTTCGGTAGATAATTTTGGGTAAGATACTAATAAAAAAAATATGGATCATATATATAAGATACAAAAATATATATATTCGGTGACTATTGGTTCTGTATAGCTATAATTTAGGTACCTACTCAAAGTAAAAAAAATAACGTATAATAGAAGATTAAAAGTTCAAACTAGTTCCCAAGTAACGCTAACCGAATATATCACCACTGTGCCAGACGGATTATATGTAAAGTATTGCAAGAATTTGTTTCATCATTAGGAACACTTAGCGCGCTAAATTCAGACGAGTAATTTATATACGGCCTTAACAAATTACATATTATTTACATTTATTGAAGCGCCGTTTATATTGTTCAAACAGCTGTTTTCTAAAAAAAATATAAACACTTCTTCAAAATATCTTCATATATTTTTTTAGATTTTTGTTTTTAGTTGAATAATGATTATAATTTTATTCTTCCTACAATTAAAGGTAAGATTAGATTGATAGATAGCCCTGCCCTGTCGGTCGACGCGTTGCAAATACACGATAAATGGCAGGAATTGCTTAGAAACGGAACAAATTCATTCGCCTACATTACTCGCTTCCTCTGTTACACGCCTTGCCTGGCTTTGTTTTAGAAAAGGTGACTGACATCCGCTACACCAATTGAAAACTGATTCATGAGATGTACTATTACAGATTATTTAATAAGTGCTTTATAAGTTCATTTGGTTGAAGACTTGCTGTCCTAGCGGTCGCGGGTTCGAGTCCCGCTGGAGGCATTCATTTGTGTGATGAACACGAATGTTTATACTCCAGAGTCATGGGTGTTTATGTTTATAATATGTATGTATTTAAAGTTATATATGTGTAGTATATCAACTATCTGGTATCTATAACACAGGCCTCGTAGCTTACCATGGAACTAGATGGTGTTGTGTGTCTATGTCCAAAAATATTTATCATATTTATTTGTTCATACTAGCGTTAAGATATTCGACGATATATATATATATTTCCTAACTATTAGAACCCGTTTCTAATTTTCATTTATTCAATGTTAGAAAACACAAAAAGATTCATATTAATGTTATGAAAATTAAGAGTACCTACATATATTTGTATGCGCTAATCTTAGAAAATAGAATTTAGTATATAACAACAACACAATACAACGATTAGGATAAACGTATTACATAATCTTATTTATTCAATATCAATATTAAATATCGTGTGCCTCCACTTAGATATTGTTATACATAATACGATTACATATATAAACGACCTTGTAAGCGCAGTGTTGCCAAAATTAATATAAAATAATATTAATTTGTGACACATTGCCACACCCAAAAACAACAATACAAAAACCGTTAAAATAAAGACAAATGAACATAAAATAATATCTGTAAAGCAGTGTACCATCACAAAAAGGAAGGTCACTGAGCCTGTGTTGAACACGCGGGGATCGCATGCAACGATCCCAACGTTCAATGGTAATTTTAGGCTACCGCTTTAGAGGGAATCGTACGATATAATCGATGATGGTCAAAAATAATCCTGACTTATATAATACAATGTCAACCACTTTTTAAGTGTGTAACTCTGAAAATATTGGCTTAAAAACTTGTTTTAAAACAACTATTTTTTTCAATGATACGATAGAGTGCACATTTTTCTCATACCTACGATACTCGTAACTACGAGTATGGAGTGCCACCGTTAATTTTTTTTGACTTTGAGTACCTAAATTATAGCTATACAGAACCAATAGTCAATAAAATCGATAAAATCAATCAATACTCAATAAAATCGGACATGACGAAATTATTAAAGTTCAGTTTTTACCTCCTGGTTACGAAATCCTAAAAAAAAACAAACAAAAGTTACTTTATACAATAAATCCGATTATAAACACAAATACTATCGATTTTTCGATAACGTATCTAAGTCTTTTTTCCCGTAGCAAGTCGATTTATCTCGGGACATTAGATGGTCTCCGTGAGATATTACAACATAAATAGTGTTAAAAGTTAAGTGGTAAAGATTGCGCAGAAGGTCTTGAGCGAGACCGTGAGTCGCTACTAGCTACAAATATTAAGATGCAAATCATGGCTGAAATAACTAAAAAACTTGTTCGTTGCATTTCCTTGTGTAGGAAATGAGAAAACAATCTCAGCTTAACCTATTTACATAAAATAATAAAAAATCTTACAATTAATGCGTTTGCAAACGTTACTTACTTGCAATAATACAGTCTGCCATCCCTTCCTGTGTGAACCGTCCAGCCTTCTTTCAATTCTGTCTGAAGTCTCTCCAACGCCACCTCGTCTTCCAAAGCGCCTTTGCCTTCGAACCTGGGACTTCCCCCCATTCTAGGACTTCCATATTTTGGACTTGCTCCAAATTTTGGGCTATACGTTCCCAATTTTGGGCTATTAGAACTTGAGGCTCCATCGCTTAAAGGGCTGCCTGTGAATCGTGCACTGAAGTTGGGACTAGGGTTGGGCCTTGGACTCGGAGTTAACTTCGGGCTGGCAGTGCCGCTAGGACCTGGAGACGATGACGCCTGCTGCAGCAGCATTATTTCACATCATTGCACCATTGTAGATGTTATCTGGAAAGATAAAGAAGTCTTAATTAATACTTACTATTTTACTTTTATATTTTACTATTACAATTTGCCTCAAATTCTTTTTACTTAAACTTTACTTAAAATGAAATCAGTAGAATCAACCCTCTTGAATCCTTTTGTTCATATCAATTCTAGGTAAGAACTGGTTCAATGAAGAGATCCTATAGTCTGCTAACAGCAACTAACGTCAGCGGCAAACTTTAATTAAATTTGTGTTTTCATTGTGCTCTATACTGAGAACGTATCCACCGTTCACTCGCTCTACTTTTGCAAAATAGTTGAATGTTAGAATGCCCTACGTACATAGTCTTAAATAATTTGCTAACTTTGTTATATTTTTACGAAAGTTTATTGTGCTAAAAACATTGTTCTTATTAACTTTAACATCTTCTTAATTAAATAATCATTAGCTTGATCAATTTAATTTATTCAGACTTTTTTCTTTTTTCAATGTATGAGTACTCTATTGTCCATTACATAATATATCATAATAGAGTAATCTAATTTTGGCCATATTTGTTAATAAGTTTGTGCTCAAACTGTATTTTATTATTTTCGTAACGCTGTAAGATTACCAATAAATAAATAATAAGATATCTGATAATCTCATAATAGTTAAATGATAATAAAAGAAGTCAAAATTACTCTAATTTTGTTTGTATAATGTGAGCAATCCTCCACAATCTCTTGAAAGCATTCAAAAGAGAAGAGGAAATGAAACAGCCTCGAGGGCTAAAATGGCAACATCGATTAAAACTAACAAAAAGTACGCCAAATGCTGCCTAAATTGCTTTAAAAAAGATATTCCGCAAACGTAATCGCTGAAACGCGACACAAAATATGAATGAAAATGGTTGCCTTTTTTGGATGACATTTTACCTGTCCCCGTTTTTATTCGAACTCAATAAAGGTGGCAGATTAGGATATTTCTGAAAGTGTTTTATTGTCATACTGAAGGTATTGGTCCAGATACGCAATTTGTCAAATATAAGGGTCGACATTTTGGTATGCTACAATATTGTATGCAATAACATCATTTGTAAAGGAATTAAATCATTCATCGTTATCGAAAACCATATTTTTGGTGATTTCTCAAATGATATATAGATAATAGAAATTTCTGCTGTAAAAATATGTAAGTAAATGCTTAAAATGAAATAAAAATAAAAATAAATACTTAAATATTTTTTTTTACTTTAAACTTTAAAAAATTCGAAAAATAAGTAGAGCCTAATATTTTATAACACACAGAGTTGAAGTTGCTAAGACATTAATAGTTTTTCAGAAATTAATAAATTTACAGTTATCTTCGTACGATATAGGTATCTTTCACAAAAGGATAATATTACACATGATAATAAATATTTTTTAAAGACAAGACTCGTACTTATCAAAGTATCCAAGTATTTAACAAAAAAATATTTAATAGCAAAATCTAAACTTAAACTGATAACATTTTCGAAAACAACAAGCAGGTCAACTTTTCAACCAACATCCTTTCACAACAGTTCGAGTTTAAAGTGAATAATGCATTACTCTTGTACTTTCTTTGCAACTTCAACACTGTTATGTAATCTGTGTTACAGAATCAGACAGATGCCGTATCACGGAAATACTAATAAAGTGGTAGGAAGTAAAATCTTATTTGATATATACAAAATAAATATTTAAATATTAATACTTTCTTAGATTTATGCGAATATTTGACATCTATACATATAATAAAATTGTAAATAAGCCGAATCTGTACATTAAATATTTTTTGGAAAATCTTATTGAAATAAACATTATTATCGATACGGAGGGCGAATCTATAGTTTTTAGAATGTTTGTCTGTCTGTCTGTCTGTCTGTATGTCTGTCTGTCTGTCTGTCTGTCTGTTACCGCATCACAGAAAAACCACTGGAGGGATTTTAATGAAATTTGGTATAGTGATAGCTGGTTATCCGGGTCAACATATAGGATACTTTTTATCGTGGGAAAATATCTCATTTCTGAGAAAAATACAAAAACTGCATTATAAGAGTATACTAATATGTAAAACCTAAGAATTTGGTTTTTGGTCATAAAACGCGGGCCGAGCCGCGGACAATGCTAGTTTTAAATAAAACTATCTTTTCGGATTACTTCGCGGATTTATTTTGATTTTTGGTTCCCGACGTTTCGAATGCTTTACAGCAATCATGGTCACGGGAGAGACTGAGGTTATAGACGTCTCAAACACATACTTGTTACAGACAGTGCCAACCCACTAATTTACGAAATGATGGCAATAAAGTACCTTACAATATTTGTTGATTTTTATTTCTAAACATTTTAATTTTTTTTAATAAATATTATTATTAAATATAGCAATATTATTTATTTAATTTTTGCTGTTATTATTATAAATATTACAATTTTTTTTTAAACTTTATTAATTACTAACATTATTTAGTGTTGCTATTATTATATTATGTATAACCATAAAGAATATTAAAAATTAAGTTTATTAATTATTTACATATAATTTAAAAGAAGTACGACCTTTATAGACAAAAAATAAAGACAAAAAATATATTAATCAGAATTACTGTCATTATTGCGATCCACACATTATATTATTATTTTTATATATTACTTAAAAGTAGAATTAAAGTTAAATTTGTGATTTTAAAATAGCAAACCTACACTGAATTATATTATTTGTAGAATATCAGTCCCAAAAAATCGTTTTTATTTGTATGTTTATTTGTATCTCCGGAAAGGTTCATTCTCCAGAAAGACTGGACCAAAAAGGCGTAAATAGATAAAAAAGGAAAAGAGTTCCAGTACCATAAAACCTAAATAGTACCCAAATTATGGATATTCATGTAACAGAACTCTCACTAAGATACAGAGTATTCAGTTGCAACTTCCAAATGACATAATCAACATTTTATCCCTAATAAGTTAAATGTTCTTGCGGGTTTTTTTTGGGGAAAGATGGGAATGCTTCTCTAAAACATAAAGCTACACGCTATTATTATATATAATAGCATAACATACCATGCTAAAGTAAAATAGGCTACTATTTCCCCAATATATTCAATCGCTCCCCTGGGAAGAAACTCCACGTTACGCTTCGGCAGGTCAATAATTCTTACCTACTAAAACTCTATATAAAGTATAGTTGAAATGTGTAGTTATGTACATTGTACGTAAATTAGAGCAAAATGCGCGTTTATTTCTCTAATCGCATCTCATTTGAGCTTTAATAGAAGAGAGTTTTAATGGGCTGCACTGGCTGTATGTATACAGGTGGTACGCATAAATACTTTTCCCAACATTAAAAAAAATCACAAATATACTGCTACTAAACCAAAATTTTATCCACATCCATGCCTCAAACAGAAATGTACAGGAAAAACTTCATGAGATTACCTGAAAGGATCGTTAACGTCAGTTTGAGAATCTAATATAGTTCCCGCGGGAACTAAGTGCGGGAAAGGGGGAGTGCTTAGCGCGTTATTAAGTTAGGCATAATGGTGTAATGCAAGTTTCTTCGAAAGACAAACTGTGTTAACATTTCAAGTAAGTTTACATTTGATCGTTAGTTCTAACCTTATTTCATTATTTACAATTAATGAGAATTGTTTCAATAAAGCCTTTTGCTTTTATTTATTTTACAAGTAACTTTAGCCAAACCATGTCTTGATAGCATAACAGCAACAATGGTCGCCTATTCGATACTCTGACGATGCAAATAATTAGTATAACAGCTAGTAGCCCACTCACGTTTTTAGGTACGATCTTAGGTGCCAACAAAAGCCATGTGTTACCTCAGATCTATCTGTATACTAAACTTCAACCAAATTCATCCAACCGCTTCAACGTGGAGGAATAACAAACATATGAGTATATGTGCATACACATACATACACATACAAACATTCGCAATTACAATATTGGTCCGATTCTGTCTAACTATTCACAAATTAAACGAATCGTAGGTAATAAACTAGTAAGCAATTCTTAAAAATTTCCTTCGCAATGATAATAAAACCTTATTACTTAATAAGGACGAATTGATCCAGGCTATCGGAGTCTCAATTACGGAGAAACCTTTTTTGTCGTCTGCCAAATGGATGCTTGAAATGAAACACACTTTACATAATTACTTGGTGAGAGTCGTCATAGCTCGTCGTGAGATGACTCGTTTGAATTTTGTGTTAGCCACACAATCGTTCTGTGATACTCATAATCATTCACGTTTCACGTTAGATATTACCGACAAACTGCGAAACTAGAAGTTTCTTATTAACTAACTTTAGTTAACGTCTAAAAAGACGTCATAGATACGAAATTGTTACACATAGTAAGTAGATTAATTATAAATACATATATTGGGACATTAACACACATCACCATCTAGTACCATGGTAAGCTACAAGGCCTGTGTTATGGATACCAGATAGTTGATACACTACACATATATAACTTTAAATACGTACATATTATAAATATAAACACCCATGACTGGAGTACAAGCTCATCACACAAATGAATGCCCCCAGCGGTACTCTAAGCCGCGACCGCGGGCTCAGCAAGTAGGGTCACTACACACTGAGCCAAACGTACCGTCCGTAAAAGATTAGGAGGTAAGTCATAATTATAATGAAGTTATTTCTAAAAGCCATCTATAATATGCGAATCTTCGCCCATGTGCTATTATCGTGCAGTTTTATGTTCATAAAAAATCTGTATACATACTAAGCTTCATTTTAATCTATGGAACAACCAAAAGAACTCTAAATAGCACGTTTTATAAGAAACTCCCAAAAGGAACGTGTTTGAAATATTGGTTATTTCTATTCAATTCCAAACTATCTTCGGTATAGAGGCATTTTATTCTCTGTACTCAATAAAGGAAAAGCGTAATATCACTTTCGCTTCCGATATCATTCTCTTCATTGTCTTTTGACGACTAA